AAAAAGAACGAAAGTACACCATATCTACACCAAATGCATTTGGGGTATACTTGGGGTATATATGGTGTAAATTTATGGTGTATATATCGTGTACATTTAGTATCAATTTGGTGTTCTGAAAACACCAAATTTACCCGATTTTTATCCGGATCCATTCCACACGGGCGGTTCTAGTCGCAAAGGCACTGCAGCTGGTCGCGCCCGCACACACACACTCTGCCCCGCGCGCCGCGCCTCCGCGCCATCGACCCCCTGTGCCTGGCCCGGCCTGGTGCGGCCTGCCTGGCGTCCCTGACGTGACGACGGCCTGCTGCAGAGGGGCCTCCTACAGCCCGCGAGAGACCCTTTAGCGGGAGCAGGGCGCAAGACAAGCAGGGCCATACGGAAGCGACTTGTCACTTTGGGCGAAAAGTGGAGCGTCGGCGGCGGGGTCGGCTCGACAGCAGGCTGATGAGCCCGGGGGGGCATCCTGCACCATGCCACGCCGCGCCACGCCACGCCGCGCCGCACCGGGCCGCACCGGGCAGATGATGGGGCGCCCAGCCCGCGCGCGCCGCCCCCACCTGCACCACGCCACGCCGAGCCGCCCCCGGGCAGATGGGGCGCCCAGCGCGCGCGCGCGCCGCCACCCCACACCCCCGCCCCGCCCACAGAGGAGGACAAACGCGAAATCGAACGCCGCCGCGACGACCATCACTCCCTGCCGGCGTGCAATAACGTAAAAGGCACGGCCGGCGGCGGGAGGGAGCGCGCCGAGCGCGGCGAGGACACCGAACGAATTATTTCCTGCTGTTTGCTTCTGATCGCAACTCAACCGTGGTGGAGTCTCGGCCGCCGCGTGGAGGGGTGGGGGGGGGGGAGTAGAGCGGAGGTGGAGGAAGCAAAATAACGAAAATTCCGGAAGAGGAGGCGCTAGGAGACCGGAGAAGACGCAGCAGCCAGCCGGGCGCCCTCATGCTCGGATGTTGCGGGATTCGATCCCCAGATCACACCGTCCCTCGTGGACCGCACCAAGAACACGGGAAGGAGAGAGGAGGCCCCTGGATGGGTCGGCGGGGGGGGCCGTGGGGGACACCCTTGGCCCGGTGTGGCCCGGTGGGGCCCGACGAGAATAGCACGGCCCTAGGCGGCGGCGGCGCAGGGGCACAGCAGGGCCCCCGCAGCCCGACAGGCACCCGACAGGCCCCCGACAGGGCCATCCCGACGGAGCCGGATTACTCGCGACGAGGGGCGGGGCGGGGCGCGGCTGGGGCTCTCTGGGCGCCCGCCGCCCCCAAAGAGAGAGCAAGAGAGAGAGAAGAAAAGTGGGAGCAAGGCGAGGCGGGGGCGCGAGTAGTGGGAAAGTAAGTACGGCAGAAGGGGGAGGCGGGGAGCAGCAGCAGCAGCAGCAGCAGCAGGGCAGCCCTAGCCGTCATTCTGGAGAAACAACAACATGAACAATACAACAGGTGCACACAATCAGTTCCGGCGCAGCGCTCCACGCGCCCCGAGTGCCCGTGGCCGTGCCATGGCCGAGCTCGCCCCCCCTCCCCCTTCCAATCCCAGGCCACGGCAGCACCATTTCTAATCAAGCGAGAATAAGACCGACACATAAAGCAAGAAGAGAGGGGGAGAGAGAGAGAAGGGGAGAAGGAAGGAGGAAGGAGACTGGCGAGAGCGCGAGGGGTGGGTGCAGGGGTGGGTGTCCCTGGGGCGCGCTGGTCCACCGGCCCCGCCACGTGCACCAGCAGGACTTATTTGTGTCTCCCCTCCGAGGGCGGGGCGGGGCGGGGCTGAGCCGGGGGCACGCGGGCCGCAGGGTGCCGCGTTGGGCGCAGAGGTGCGTCTCCGATTGACGCAGCGCCCCACTCCTCACCCAACCCCCCGCCCCGCCCGGGCTGAGCCCCCCCTAGTGACGAACTGTCGTCCGGTGCAGCTCGCCTCCTGCTCCCTCCCCCTCGGCGCCCTCACCTCTTAGGCTCTCCTCTTCCCGACGCGAACAACACAGTTGCATCATTTTGGCAGCCGGGCTATTCTCGACGATGATATATTTACAGCGCCCCCTCCCTTCTCCTGCCCGACAAACACCTCACCCTCGGCGCCACCCCCTCCCGAAAGTTTGCTCTCGTGCCTCCATAAGTAATTATGCCGGTTAGAGAGAAAGGGAGAGAGAGAGAGGACGAGGGGGAGCGAAAAGATCGCAGCAGCACAAGCAATTTCCATCTCAAATCCTTCTTCCGTGTGGCGCGAGAGTGCGAGAGAGAGAGAGGAGACTAAGCACACAGTTCACAGGCACCCCCGCCGACACGGGCCCGCCCAGGTGCCAGGTTCATGCGCCCGGGTGGCAAAGAGATTTCCAAAACCCCTTGGGCCCCTGGCTGCTGGGGAAAATCGAGGGGGCGTGTTGGCGGGCGAACAGCATTCAAATGTACGGCAGGGGGTCAGACGGGGGCGAGGCGGGGCGAGGTGGGGCGCGTCCTGGGGGCGTGCCTGCAGCCCCTGCCCCACTCCGCTCTTTGTCGCTCCCGCTCGCTCCGACACCGACCCGCAAATGGAGAAAAAAGCAGAGAGAGGTGGGAAATGAAACATATTGCCTGTGGCGTTTGGCGTCGGGTCAGCGGGGGTATAGGAATTGAGGAGTGTTGGAAATAAAAGAGAGGTTTGGGGGGGGGGGGGGAGAAGCCAATTTAAAAAAACGCGGAGAAACGATGGAAGGGGAAAACGTTTTCCAATGAGCGGCCCGCTGCTGCTTCGACAGGCATTTCTACGCGCAGCCTGTATCCGACCCGACCCGACCCTTTCATCGGATTCGGCTTGCATAACGAGTGCAAAAGAGACAGACTTCTGCAAAGCGGGAGCAAGAGAGAGAGAGACAGAGAGAAGGAAAGGGGAGCGGCGGCGGCTATTGGCTGGCGGATCAAACAGGCCCGGGTCCCTCTTGTTCTATTCCCGGACGTGTGCGTCCCTCCAGCCCAGAGCAGCAGCGGCAGCAGCCCCCGCCGTGTCCACGCCACATGGAGCGTGGGGCGGGGCAGGCCACCGCGTCGCAGAACTCGAACGAAGCGAGCAGCGAATTAAGGGAATGAAGGGGGGGGGGGGGGCGGTACGCCAGGTACGTCCTCGACCAGGCCACCTGCTTAAATTAAGCCCCTCCCCCGAACAGGTACCGGGTGGTAAACAGGTGCGCCGGCGCCGGTGCCCCTGCGCCTCCTTGCCGTGGGCGTGCAGCCGTGGCCCTGCCTGCACCTCTGGCCCTGCGCCTCCTGCCGTGGGCGTGCAACCGCGGCCCTGCGCCCATGCCTGTGGCCTTCCTCCTCCTTCACGTGCTGACACCAAAAGTCTCAAAGAGACGCGGGCGTGCGAGCAGACTGTTGTAGTGATAAGGGAAAAATTTGAATCGTCGCCGAAAAATGGTCACTCTTTAGATTTCGCCGCGTCAAAATACGAGCGTCAGCAGCTACGCTAGAGAGTGTCGTGCGACTGTACATAACTGCGAGGGAGTAAGTAAACCGAGTCCGTTACCCCCCGCAACCACTGCTCACGAGCCAGGGCAGGTTATACGGCCCCCGTCCTACTGTACGTGTACGCGGCGGTCACCGCGACCAAAGCCGCGGGGCGGGGCGGGGCGGGGCGGGGCCGTGCGCCAGGAATGCATGCGGCGGGCAGCAGGGGCCGAACAGAGGCGGAACGGATCCCGCGCGCATCGATTTTAAACGCTCGGATGCAAAGGGCAGTGGGCAAAGCCCAGTCAACAGGAAACCTTCCATTTCACCTGACAGTGACGGGCCAGGGGCCGCAGGGCCGCAGGGCCGCGGGGCCGCGCGGTGCAATCGGGCCGTATGACGGGACTCGGGAGGAGAGCTTGTTTTTGAAGTGCCTCGCGGCCCGCGGCCTTCGGGACGGGACGGACCTGTCCGCCTGCCGCCGCGCCACTCCGCGTCTGTCACAGGACTGATACAATGTTTACGCCGCGGCGCGCCGAGAGAGAGAGAGAGAAAGAGGCATAGGCAAGGACGAGAGCGATAGGGGGGGAGCATGCGCGCGCGAGAGAGCAAGAGGGAGAATGAGGGAGAATGAGGGAGGGGGGACGAGCGGCGCGGGAGCGAGAGAGAGAGCGCGCACGCGCAAGCAATGCTGACGCAATCGAGCAATCAGTTGGGACGGACGGCAGAAACAAAACACGAGGATGCGAGAGGATCCTCTTCGGACGTGGGCCCTATCTATCTATGGGCCTCGACGCCGTGGTGCCCGGGGCGGCCGTGGACTTCCCTGCTGGCCAGCACGCGCACCCTCTGGCAGGAAGTGCACGACGGGGAGCTCTCTTGTTTGCCGTGGCGGGATGCAACCGGGGGGGCCTCGGGGGCGCGCGCTCTCAACGCGTCGCATACTCAAGTGGAAAGACATTACGCAAACGCCGCCAGAGCCTACGGTAATCCTCGTACAGCAAGAGGAGTGAACAACAGCTGGCGCCGCCGAGCGCCCCGGCCCCGCCGCACGCCCGCCCCGGCCGAGGCGCACATTGCAACACCTGTCACAATACGAGTACAGCAGGTGAAGGTGTGGAGGTGGAGGGGGCTCGGATCCAAACCGCACAAACACGAAAAACTCTGCGGACTTCCCCGAGCCCTTCTCTTTCTGTCCCCCACCTCCAAAAACACACACTACACGGGCGCGCCTGCGCGCGCGCACGCACAGCGCTGCGGCGAGGGAACGACCAAAACGTCGTAGTATAAACTCGCACCACAAAAATTCCCCCAGAATGATATCGATCCGCGCCGAAGCAGAAGACGGACCGCCGCAAAAACACACACTCTTGGCCGCCCGTTCGTTCTGCCGCTTATTAGAAAGTAGTGCAGTCAGTGCAGGCCGGGCAGCCAGCCCACCGGACCGGACCACAGAGTGGCGAATCAACATTCCTCGGCGATGAGCCGAGCGAGCAGCAGCGCAGCGGGACACAGAGGCGGACACACTCCTCGCGCGCAGCCCGCTGCCATATTGATGTAAACAAACGCAACACCCACCAGTGCGGTAGTCCTGGTAACGTGAAGACGCCACCTTGGAGGAGCTGGCGAACAGTTTTCGGACGAAAGACGACGAGGAAGGAGAGGCGAGTGCCCTCACTGCACTGCAGGAGCACTGCCTCGTTCGAGTTCGGAGACGATGACGACGGCCTTCTTGACAACACTATACACTTTTGCACAATCACAACACCAGAATCAAAACAATTCACTACGCAGGCGCACTGCGGGGTTTTTGTCGCACACAAATTCACTCTAGGCGCGCGTAGTATTTCACTAAAACAGCTGGGCCGTCACGGCGCCGTGTCGCAGTGCAGACGGTGCCGAGGTTGTAAACAAAACAACGCCGATGTCGGAACCAGGGCGGGAGCGACGAGCACCATGACCGAAGCGAGAGAGCCGCGCGCGAAGCCGAGCCGAACCGACCGTCGAGCCAGGCGAACCGACCAACACTGACGTTACGTTACGTTTCCCTGAAAGAACTCCCGCGCGCCGCGCGCCAAACACAAGGCTGCGCTCACAACGGCCGGGCTCCGCCTGCTCGGGCCGCGCCACGCTACGCTGGGCCACGCCGCGGCAGCAGCAGCAGCAGCAGCAGCGGGCCTAGCGTGGCGGCGGCGTCCCTCCCTCCCCCACCCCCACACTGCGCCAGCCGCTGCCCTTCCCTTCCCTTCACTCCCCCTCGCACCGTCTCTAAGCCCTGTGCTGTGGGTCGGTGGCTGGCCTGGCCGGGCTCGAGCAGCAGCGCGCAGGGCTTGCAGGAGGAGGGCTGGGCCCGGGCTGTAAAGTACGGGGCAGGGCCCGTGAGATGCAGCGCGGAGGGGAGTAAACGTTTTTACTGCACCGAGACCAGCGCCGCAGTGTTCCCTCGAGCTCGAGCAAGCCTCGTGGCCGTGCCGCCGCATTCCAGGGAATCATATTTGCGGCCCCATCAAAAATGTCAAAACAAAACACCCGTCTCATTTGAACGCGACTCGACAATTGTGTGATGTGACACGTGACGGTAATGCATGTGGAGTATACTACTTAGACTTAGAAATAGCTGCCACGAGCCTTGTCACAAACCCCCCAAAAGTGATTGTTATGGTCGGTTATGGTTGTCACCCAGGGTCACTGACACATTCTTTTAAGCCAACAATGAACATCTACCCCACCTACGACTCACCGGACTCACCTCCAGAGTACTGGAAGCATATTGCAATGTCACGCTCTTGTTGCAAACGGTATATGTTGCCAACTAAGAGCGTTCCGCATTTTTATGCACTCCCGACACGACCGCCTCTAACTCCATCAGGGGAGACAAGACGCGGCGCAAATGAGAATGAGTGCCCCGCGCTGCCCGCGCGCGCCTTTGAAACCGCAAACGAGCGGCAGATGCGGTGAGGGGGTGGAAGTGTAAAATAATTCCCCCTCTCTTTCCTCTTCACCACCCGTTGGCCGCCGCTGCCACCACAGCCGCCGACGTCCTCTGCCTGACGGACGGGACGGGACGGTCCTCCTGGGGGCGACGGCGAGCAGGTCCTTCCCTCTGCATTGTTGTCGTCCGTCCCAATTATTAGAGGCACGGCGGGGAGGGGGCGCTGGAGCTGGAGAGGAGGAGGGAGGAGAGGGGAGGGGAGTAGGGGTGTAGAGAAATGCAAAAAGCCCTCCGGGTCGCGGAGTTTGTTGGCGTGGCACGGGGTGAGCGACGACGACGACGGGAACGACGACAAAATGGCGTTGGTCGACAGAGAAAGAGAGAGAGCAAGGGAGAGAGAGAGAGAGAGAGAGAGAGAGAGAGAGAGAGAGACGGGAAGGGGAAGGAAGAAGAAAAATGTTTGTATTATTATTATTTTTCTTGTGTCCAGTGGCGGCGGCGGCGGCGGCGCCGGCGGCGGCAGGGTGAAGTGACTGCATACAATGGCGCCGCTGTGCGCGCGTCTGCTGCTGCTGCTGATACTACTGCTGCTGCCTGACTCACTGACTGACTGGAGATGGAAATGGGGGGAAAAGCACACAAAAGAAAAAGGGAAGCGAAGAGGGAAGGGCCCTCGGGGCCTCTGAGGGCGGCAGACAATGGGGGGCGATGGGCGCGGTGCTTACCAATATCGTCGTGATGATAACGGCGCGCGACAAATAAACAGCGGCGCACTCCGCGGTGCCGGGGCGGGGCGGGGCGGGGAGCAGGCAATGGAGCCTCTCCATGGCTGTTGTTTTCTCGCCGTTTCATAGCACCTCGACGACACGACGACGCCCGGTGGCGACAATTATCACCCGGCTAACATAGTGACACTTGTCTAATTCTATTGCCATCGAGTCCCGCCCCGCCCTCCGCCCGCCCCGCCCGCCCCGCGGCCCCGGACAGCACAATCATCACCTTGTCACCCAAACGAGCGGTGCGGGGAGAGCAGGTGTGGCCATGGGACGCAAGGTAGGGGGGCAGGGGCGAGGCGTCAAGCGTGGTCAATGAACCGTCTCAGCGGACAGTGCGCGGAGGACGATTCAAAGTCGTGGGACGCGTGGCGGCGGCGGGCGCGAGCTGCGCGAGCTGCGCACTATACTATAGGAGAGGGGCGCGGCGGGACAGCGGGGCAGCTCAGGGGGAAGCGCGCTGCGCAGAGCGGGCGGGGCGCGGCCGTGCGGAGGCCTTAGGCGCGACGACGGTTGACCTGGCGCACCCGAGGCTATAGCCTTGCCCCGCTGCACACTGCCCCCGAGCAGAGGGGGTCGCGAAGAGGAGCAGTCCGCCCTAAGCGGCTTCCGCGCCGGCCAGCCTGGCCTCCGGCCTGTCAGAGGTACCACTAGGGGCTTCCAAGGACGAGGAGGGGCGGGGCTGGGCGGGGCTGGGCAGTGCGGCAGTGATCCTCGTGCAACCACCCTTTGCCCTCATCGGATCCGGCTCACAGCATCATTGCGATGCGGTACGCGTACGGCCGCGCCCTCGCCGCCGCCCCCAACCCCCGCGCCCACCAGCTCGCCG